CATACATTTTGAAGTATTACAATGCATCCTCAACGACTTTTACTGCTGTTCGTTGCTTCCAACTCAGGAAAAAAGTATTGAGATTAGACGTTACCTCGTATTAGAGCTCAGATAGAACTGTCCAGCACCTTTGTTTATGACTACAAAATGAGCACGAGCGGCAATTCTGTGAGGAATTCGCACCTCACCCAGGGGGGACGAACGACGATGATGACCATGCCTGTGAACCGAATTACATCACAGTGCAAAATAAAATTATCGCAAAAATACTGCCCGTGAATAAATCTACAACTCTGAAATTTTTGTCACTCCTTCCTTCAATGAATGGGTATTTTTTCCTTGATTATTACGTTTTGCTCTGCAATACATGTTTATACAGATCGTTTCACAGACATGGGCATCATTGTCATTCGTCCCCCCTGGCTGAGGTGCGAATTCCTCGCAGAGCTGCCGCTCGTGCTCATTTTCTGGTCATAAACAGAGGTGCTGGACAGTTCTATCTGAGCTTCGATACAAGATAGCTTACAATCCCAATACCTTTTTCTTTAATTGGAAACAACGTACAGCAGGAAAAGCCGTTGAGGATGCATTGCAATACATCAAAATGTATGTAGCAGGAGTTTGAACCAAAACTGCCAAGGGATATTTTAAAAATGTCGAGGAACAAGTCATTCGACGTCAGAGCAAAGTTTGGAGCAATTTATAGTGCTTCTAAAACTGAAAAGTACCTTTTAAAGAATAGCACGATAGGCAATCGGCTTCTGTTTTCAGAATTAGCAAACACTCAATTTACTTGTCCCGAAAATTGAAACTGGTGTCTCCTTCCTCCTGATAGTAATTTATTTTTGAAATTCCAAAACAATTTCACAGCTGAATTTTGAGCGACTTTTAGTTACGGACTTCTGCTCCAACGATTTTTCTGAAACTCCTCTGGCATATTTATTATATCAATTAAAGCCGATACCAGAAATTTCAGTAAAAAATATCAGCAAAATTTTTTACTAGACGCGATTTTCTTTGAGCAGTAGGGTCCTTTTAAGCGCTAATTTCTCAAGAAATATTTACCATCAATGAAATCGGAATATTTCGTATTATTGCCGAATGATATCTGTTGTTTTTTGCAAAGTTTCGCAGCCATCACGTTAAAATCGAAAAAGCTATGACGGAAAATTTGTCACAGCTAAATGCTCTTGTATTAATTACGGAGCCACCTTAAATAAACTATAATACCTTTGACTATCCGGATGTCACCTGGGGACTCGCTAAGCCAAAAGTGACAAAATATCAAAGATAGCTCCTTTATAATTCAAATCCACCAATTCACTATCAAGATCGATAAAATTAACATCAATTTGCTTTTTGAATGTGTCAATTTGAGTTCCCACGTGTTTCATGTCATGTAATATGCTACGCAAAAAGTGACAAAATATCAAAGATGCAACTTTATAATTCAAATCCACCAAATTACTATCAAGATCGATAAAATTAACATCAATTTGCTTTTTGAATGTGTCAAGATGGTAGAATTTAATTTCAAAGCCCACGTGTTTCATGTCATGTATCAAGAGACACGTTTTCTAAATCAAGATGCATGTTTTTTAAATCAAGAAGGGAGACGACAATTTTTGATCAGTTTTGTTTCCGAGAGGGACTGAAACCGAGCACACAGGTTGGAATTCAAGGTTTAAAAGTGTTGACGGGCCTTCACGACTCCTGCAGTTCGCAAATAGATTGGTCTCAAAACCTCTATAGTTTAGCTCTTACTTGAGTGTCTTTTAGGGATTTTCCCTTGCGATATGAAACGAGGGGAGGTTCCTTAAAGATGTTTCTTTGCGATATGAAATGATGGGAGGTTCCTTAAAGATGTTTCTGAGATTTGGTTGGTTCTGTATAAGGTGCCATTTCCCCATGACTATGTTCTTGAGGTTGGGCAACGCAGGGTGGTATTGCGTTACGGCAAAGGGTAGTATTTTCTTACTTGTATTTTTGTGTCTCTGTTCTAGTGCTTTCTTTCTGTCTGCGAAAATGACCTCTGAGAGATGTTTTTCTACAGTTGCAGTTGGGTAATCTCTATTCTTGAGGCATGTTGAAAAATTCCTCATGTTCTCTTCAAAAGTGATTTCAGAGGAATTTGTTCTTAGAAGTCTTAAAGCTTCTCCTTTGATGAAGCCTTTTGTAATCAAAAATTGTCGTCTCCCTTCTTGATTTAAAAAACATGCATCTTGATTTAGAAAACGTGTCTCTTGATACATGACATGAAACACGTGGGATTTGAAATTAAATTCTACAATCTTGACACATCCAAAAAGCAAAAATTGATAGTAATTTGGTGGATTTGAATTATAAAGTTGCATCTTTGATATTTTGTCACTTTTGGCGTAGCATATACATGACATGAAACGCGTGGGAATGGAAATTGACACATTCAAAAAGCAAATTGATGTTAATTTTATCGATCTTGATAGTGAATTGGTGGATTTGAATTATGAAGTTTTATCTTTGATATTTCGTCACTTTTGGCGTAGCATACGATTATGTACCGTTTCGCCCTTGTACAAAAAACGGTTCCGCTAAGGAATGTTGATCATTTAACGCTTGGTGTCCCTTTTAGCAGGACTGACGTCTTTAAGAATTCTTTTTTTGTTCGGATCTGTCGCCTGTGAATTGAATTACCTCTTAGTATAAGAGAGTCAATTACTTTGTCAAACTTTCGTAAGAATTTGATGGCCTTTTATTATGATAAAATTAATGTAAATTTTCCCTAATTTTACATTGTACTTAACTGACTCATTTGTCCATTTATGGTAATTTTTTATTGAATTTTTGTTTTTTATCTCATGTCTTCTGTAATTTGTTAATAAAACGTTTTAAAATAACGTGATGTAATAATAGGTGGCTTATTTTTAAGGAGTCTTGTACTTGTTTTAAGCTTACCTCAGATTGAGCGATTGATTGATTTAATTGTCATTGTAATTCTAAATCTGAAACTTGATTAAATGAAATAAATAAATAAGTTTTCAACAACTTTTTATTTCCAAGACCTTTCAGTACTTTCATACGTCTTTCATGTGTCAATACCGCAGTTTTGTTACGGTTATAGGTAGTGGATCTATTTGATCTGGAAACCTGTTTACCTTCAAAGTCTTTAAAAACTAAGTTAGTAACCCTTCAGTTTCTTTTATTTTATTCTGCACTGTATATTGTGTTGGACGTGGCTGCATTGCAGTTTGTTGGTCACTCATGCGATCAATATCAGTGTTTTTAACTTTTAACATCATATTTTGCACTTTATATTTGTGCTGGACGTGGCTGCATTGCAGTTTGTTGGTCAGTCATTATCAGTGCTTTTTCTAACAACTAACTACTTATGTTTTAACCATTTTTATTTTGTTTTTATGCCTACAACGCTCCCATTTACACACACCCTCCGTCCCTTCTATCTTGCCCACTGGTTCAGTGGAGACTAGGAACCCTTTCATTAGGGATCCCATACTTTAAACACCCGTAATGCCACAAAGGTTGCCAGGTGAATCTACTGTTATAATTTTTTTTTTTTTTTTTTTTCATAAAGAGAGGCCCCGGAAAGAACTGTATCCGAGGCACGTTTTCAAATAAGCCATAAAGTCCTCCGGTTCAAGTTGCATTAATGTAAATTGCGAAAATAAAAAATGACAATAACAATGACATTTTCCAGCAAACAAACCCATGCTTTAAATCACGTATTTTAATGTTCCAGTCTAGAAGTAAGTAAATAACACACAATTGGCTTGAAGATTAAACTCTTTTCAGATAACCATTCATGTTCCAAGAGGCATTATACCTGAAGTAAATAAACAAAACAACAGTTAAATAAAAATATAAGGTGATATCAACGTTCTGGTGACTTTTACACCTAAATTTGTTGTATCGCGCTGCTACTTATCAAACTTCGAAGGGTTTTTCGGTTTTCTCTTTCTTCAATCATATAAGTGAGGGCGGACCTTATACAAATTTCAACTCAGCTTCGCTCGCAGATGAATTCCCGGATATCGTACCGATTCTACCAGTGTTTTAAGACCAGTGTAAACGGTCGCAACATTGTGGGCAAACAACTCCCAACATTGCCTGTTGGATGTTACATATTTCGTCCGTTTGCACACCCTGTTGCATGTTGTTGCGTGTTGTAGGGAGTTGTTACGCAAAGTTTGAAACCGGTCAAAATTTTAGCTACGTGCAAACCGACGCAACAAGGGGAGTTTTTACGTCCGTTTGCACGTAGCTTTAGTTCCCAGAGTTGTATCTGCAATCAATTTCACTTCATGCATTTACTTTAATTTGGGTGTGCTCCGGAGGGAGGAATTAAGTTTGTTACCACAAGTTTTATAATTTGCGAAATTCGTCAGAAGGTTTTATGATATTGCCATGATATGGTATTTCCGTGATCACGTGGCGCAATGTTTGATCCGTTTGCACAGCTCTTCCAACATTGTTGCGGCCACGCACGCAAATTACGCACGGTCTTTAAAGTCTTATGGGTTGTATCCTTCCTATGAAGCACTGCAGGTCCCAATATTGTTGGGAGTTGTTGCGTCCGTTTCCAACCAACATTGTTGGGCCAACAATGTTGGGAGTTGTTGCGCCGGTCCGTTTGCACCTAGCTTGAAGCCGACATTTTAAGCACCCAGACGAAGAACTAGCACTTGAATCGTCCGCTTTTAAATCTCTCCTAGACGCTGGCTAAATTTACTTTATTAATTCAATTGATTCCTCTCGAAGCAAGGTTTATACGGAATTCGCATCGCGCCTGTAACGTGCGTGATCGCCTAGGGAGGCAAAAACACAAGTTGGCTGCTTCGTGTCCGCCGTTCCCTAGCAACAAAGCCGTAACCATAACCGCAACAAACTCCCCCCGCGGGGTTTCTGCGGTCGTTTCAGCGGTCAAGAAACGCCAGAGGTTCTTCAAAGATCACATGGAAGCGATCTGTACCATAAGCTTGAAAATAACAGCGAAATTCGAGGTAAACGAACATTTATTTTTAGTATCACTTCGCGAGTTTTATTCGCCCCGTCCGTATGTTCAAATGCAATGTTCGGCTTTCTACCGCCAAAAATCTCTTATTTTCCTAAAATATAGTCTTGCATTCATCTTTAGTGCGGCTCGAACAGCTTCAAAGATGCGTTTTCCGGCAGAGGTTCCAAGGGAAAATGGCTTTGAATATAATATTTTCCAGTTCATGGGGTAATAGAGATATTTAGCACCCAGGTTTCTCGCGATAACGGCAAATAGCAAACGGCAGGTTCGCAACTTTACAGTGAAGCCACTTGCCTGTGCTTCGTAGACCCCACTTGACTTCTGAAGATCATGAAGTCGATTCTATAGGCTATTAGAATATAGGCAATGCGAGATGTCTGTTTTTCAAATATCTTAGAGCAAAAGTGACCTTTAAAATGTTAAACCGCGGAAGGATTAGCTCTAAGTCGGTAGAGCGCTTAACTGCAGAGCGTGAGGTCGTGGGTTTGATTCCATCCAGGGGCCGGACCAATACTCAGGGTTTTAAAAACAACTGAGACATAAAGGTACTGCCCCCAATTACAGACACTCAAAGCGATTTTTGTTTTGCAATGTCTTTGAAAGGAATGATCTCTTCTTACCCAAACATGTCGGTGTATCTTGTATCCACCAAGTATTTGCCCGGGTGATCCATCAAGAAGTTCCTGAGGGTGTTCATCTTGGCGGGACCAAAGAGCCCATAGCCGAGTTCTTTTACAAGTCCTTGTCCAGCCTTCATGGGAATTCGTGGATTCGTATCTTCGACGCAGATGTAGTCCCCAGGTTGCAAGAATTTGTCCAAGTACTCCAATACGCCAATCATATTTACGTGTGCGTCTTCTACTAGAAGCCACGGATGACTTAGATTCTGTGAAGGAAACCATAATAACTTATTTGAAGTTTGGATGGTTGTACTGGCGTCCTATAGTGAAAGCAAGTTTCATAACTGGACAGAAGAAAATCTAAAAGTAATACGCACTCACTAAAACATGTATATTTTGTTGACTTATGGAACTTGATTTCTGGTTAAGATACATTATTATTCATTCATAAATTTCTCTTTTTCTGATTTACTCAAACCCCACGGCTTATTCTTCACAACCAGATAACGTTGACCAAATTTGAAAGACGTTTGCGATATGTGAAAAATGACGTCAAGAGTACAGCATAAATGCCAGAAAATGGACAGCAACCAAAAAGGGCTGGGGAGTGAGGTTGCGTTGTTGTGGTGGGAAATTTAATTACTGCCTAAATACATAGCAAGAACAACAAGAATACAATTCCAAGGACGACATTCACTATTTGGAGAATATCTGCAGAACTAACCATCCCTTAATCTCCCGGCCTTACCGAGAAACAGGCAAAAGAAGATGGAAACTTAACATCGATCGAGGTAGGCATGCCTTGTTTTAACCTGAGATCAGGATCAATTTTCCTTGGTAGCCGTTAGAGAGAATGTATGAGAACCGCTAAAATTGGGCCTGATCTCAGGTTAGCCTTGTTTTTAAACTGTGAATTATTGTGAATGAGTAAAAAACAATTATTGGATTCGACTTCGATATGATCTGAAGAATTATGGAGATCTCGGCCTAATCGGAGGATAACGCTCCTCAATCTCTCTAATTCTTTAGATCATACTTTACCGCCTCCAGTGATTGCTAATTATAAAATTTCTGTAAAAGTACAATTGGGTCATTTTGTTGATTAGATGCGCGGCACCAGAACGAGACGAGTAATGAAGCTGGGCACTTGCTAAAAAGTTGATAAGCAGGGGGGCAGCGTTGGGGGGGGACTTGGAGAAGAGACGAGGTCTGGGACCGAGAAACGATGTTCTCACAACTTGTAAAGCGGTCACCCTGCGTGGTGATCAGCGGATAATGGCAGTATTTTTCCCACAATAAATATTTTGATAGAAGAGAGAAGCGAACCGGCAGAGGAAATGGTTCAAAAAATAAAAACAGTAATATCGTGCATCTTTGTTTTTCTTGCATAACATATTTGTCTTTTGGTACTGAAATTGCAGGGGAAACTAAAACGCAGGTAGCCGTTTTAGATCTTAACCAACAACAACGCGCTCGATCGATTTTAGGTTACATCGTTTTTGCCGGGCGAGGACATCAGAAAATTATAGAAGTTATGATGCTGATAAAAATTACTGGAGAAAGTGTCAAATTTATCGGAAGTAAGTATATTCGAGAGAGCCTTATAAATATGAGCTATCATACCTGCATAAACATTCACGGTATAACATTTCACTTCGTTTATTACGATCAGTCAACACCTTGAATTCAAAGTTGAGATTCAAAACGATCCTAATAAACATATCACAACTACTACTGAAAGCTCTGTACCTTGAAGTGACCTTAACTTTGCTAAGGTTTGCAGCAAAACACTGCTCGATAGCTCAGCTCTTCGGTGGTTATTATCAGCGATAAGCTATGCGCAGCTATATGTTGTATATTCCAAACTCTGCAGAGGGAAATTGTTTAACAGAAAACGAAAACCACACACTATGTCTGAAAAGCGACATAAAATCAATAAATTTGCGAATTACCAAAAATATAATAATGAGAAACAGTCCCGCCTTGGACCGCCATGTTTTTGTTCATTCTCAAAACCGTTGACCTCATTCTCGACCCCAGTGTTTTCTATGGTTTTTGACGTAAAGCGCATGATCAGTACACAATTCCGCTGGCAAGGCCCCTGCTGATCGCTTTGCAAGTTAAGATTAGCCTTCATTAGTCTTTTACATGTTTTCAACAAAAACGAGCTTTACATCCGCTTGAACGAAAGTTACTAATAAACTTACTTTGCCAAATGCAAGCGAACTCTTCTGGAGCTGAATTTCTATCAGCCATATCCAAGTTCATGAAGAGAATGAATTTTGTCATTGCTTGTTAACGTCCTTCACAAAACATGACTGATTAGGCATTTTCCCAGGTAGTCGTGCAGTTGACGCCAAAGAAATGTACAAAAAAGCGCGATGCACGTGCAAATTTTTTTTTTTTTGCCTTGTCAAGCTGTTGCTAATTTAACTTTCTCGTCGCCGCCACATCTTACAGCGGTGATCATATTGGCGTGAACACCTAAAATATGTCTGGAATGTTTATTGTGATGTAACCAATCACAGACGAGATCATCACACCACAGAAACCACAGGCAACGAACGGTTTCCTATCTGTCACGGAACAAATTATTTTCATTTTGTTTTAACATTCAGTCTTTTTACAAGTAAACAATTGCTTTTCCTTCCTATTTGTTTACAGTATTTGCTATAATAGCGAAGAATACAGGTTTGAGCGATTTTGAAATAAATTACAAAGCCGATGTGCCGGGCCTACGCACGCGACGGTTTGGCGCGCGAGTTTTCAAACTTTTTGTAACGATAGGAATCGGTAGTTACGCCTGATCGTAGGTAGTTGATAGTCAATGAAGGTTCAATCGTTAGTTCACGCAAATCGAATCCCCTTGTTCTACAAAAAAATATCAGCAAGGATTGTGCTATCAGAAACGAAAACATCACAATTGTTCATTTTTTATTGTCTTCATGTGATATGTCGTTACATGGAAAGCTGGTCGCCGTCGCGTCGCGTTGGCTTCTAAAACTTTTCTTTCTAAAATCGAACGATGTACTGGATGCGGTCCTCGACACTGATCTTGGGGAACAGCGGTGTTTTAAATTCCTAGTAAGGCAATTTGTATCCTTAAACAAAACGAAAATAATTTGTTCCATGACCGATCGGAAACCGTTCGTTGCCTGTGGTTTCTGTGGTGTGATGATCTCGTCTGTAATTGGTTGCAACACAATAAACATTCCAGACATATTTTAGGTGTTCACGCCAATATAATCACCGCTGTAAACTTCCAATTATTTACGATATGTTGTGATGAGTCAAAAACAGAATATTCTCGGAGTAAATTGAATTGCTCCTGTGCTCCTGCTGATGGCATCCCAAACGTTTTTTCGACTCATCGGTAGTTCCTTTGTTTCTGGTTAGGAAAGTAGAAACTAAAAGTTTTCCTTGCACGCACAAGCTTGGTGAACGAACCGGGCAAGTGTGGCAAGACAATAGCCGTCGTGTACGAACTCACGAAAAAACTCAGGAGAAACTGTTCGCCGATTGGGTACAATAATACAAAGCATTTTTTGTGCTCAATCAGGAGCAGGTATGCGCTCGAATTTTTGGAAATATTTCAATGAGAGTCCGTACCCAGGGGCTCTTTCGCCCGGAGTTGAAAACTTTCGTCCCGCCTTTTCTCCCGACCCGACTGACTGCCCCTGGGTCTCCGAGGATGCTGACCAAACATGCCAAACTAAATTCTCCTGGCTTCAAACCATGAACAGAGGCTTGTAAGAAAAGTGAGCTCAAACCGTTTTAACGACGAACGAAAAGAATCTATCGAACTGTAAGAGGTAAGATGAAAGCAGTTAGTTGGTGCAGGAGGCAAAAAGGAAAATTGAAACACATAAAATTTCGGAGAATGCAAAGCAGACAATACACTCCTAAAGCGCGTATGATTTTCTTATTATACGTAGAAAACTACCCTCTATTTGGTAATGTTGATGCATCTTGATACCTTAGCAAGTTAAAAACAACGGTAAAAAGGATTTGGTGTTCCTTGAGTATAGCACTTTGAATGTAACCTCCACAAATGGCGTTTCATTTATAAAAGTACCTTTAAAAATTCTTCTGGCAAGCATTTTTCAACTTGAAGCAAATCTCCCTCAATAAACTCCACATGTGGGGAACTTCTGGCTGTAGCATCCAATAAAGACAAATCGATATCAATTGAAATGACACGTGACTGGCACTCAAATATCTTTAACATGTCAGCTGTCCACAAAGCCGAGCCACCCTTGTAGGCACCAAACTCAATCACAGTTTGAGGCTTGAGTTCCCACAGCAACTGCTGGTTTATCGTCAGACTTAAAGGATCTTTCAAAACTATTATTCCTCGCCAATTCGTCATAAATTTTCCTTCAAAATAACAGGAAATTATATTGTTTAGTTTATTAGCTGATTTTTTTGTTAGTTGTAGAATATGCCAATAAATTAATTAACAATTATTGAATGAGGTTGGAATCTCAGACAAAAACCTTCAAAAACTTTTCCCCCCCTTTCCCTTCCCCCCCCCCTCTCCCTTTTGCAATGTTGTTGTAGCCACGTAACTTTGCAATCACATCTCAACATTGCAAAGAGAAAGGGAAGTGCATGGGTGTTCCAAGGATTTTTGGTGAGGATTGTAGCCTCCGAAATCTGCATAATTCTTTACATCATAGAAAAGCCCAATTCAATAATTGTTCAATTATTTGTTCAAAATATTTACTAAGTTTTAACAGCCTTACCTCCTCGTAGACTTTCCTCAAGCATTTGCCTGTTTCTCGGCACGGTTTCAGAATTTTTTTTGTTGCAGATACTCTTCTTAAAAAGTGGATGACTTCCATCGAGCAATTTTTTGCATTTCTTTCGTTCAGTTTTAGACAGAAATTCGACTATTTCGTCGTAGGATAGCCTTGAACGCCATTTTTCTTTAGTTCAAACAGGCATAAACAGCTAGGCTGCCGCGCTTTAAGGCTACGCACAACTGAAGCGGTTATTGCCTGGAAACGAGGCTAGCGATGTACTATCGAATCGATGGGTTATTCCCTACATCTCTTCCATACATGATAAGCGCAGGCTAGTTATGAAGAACTAGACGGGGGATTGGAGCCAATCGGAAACGGCAAAATCTTTCCAATGAACAATAAGCTGTATCAGAATCCGTGAGGGAATAACGATTTCTATGTTTATTACCTATTTTAATTCAATATCCGAGAAAGCATCCACGGCTCGGAGATCTTTCCTATGAAATTTACCATTTACAAGCCTCTTGGTTTAACTCTAGAAGACTAATACGGCTCAAAAGTATCTCTTTCAACACCTACAACTGTCACCTTAAAAAATATATGTCGACTAAATAAATGCATCTCGTGCATAGGAAAGCTTTAGCAGCGTTTCAGGCACTATGTACGGGTCTCTACGACAATTTTTTCTGATTTCGTGCCGCCTGCCGGTCGGGAGTCGTGGAAATCATTAGACTACCTCCTTAGGTGTGCACCAGAGACCAGACCACTGTCGGGGTATTAAAAACAGCTCCAATTTCATTTCTTTGTTATATCCTGATTCAATAAAAGTTGCTTTGGGCATTGGGCAATTGTGCATATGGAAACTATTTTATGGTAGTCACTCAAGAAAATCATTGCAATGGGCATAGTATCCCCAAATGTAAATGCCCAATGACCAATTGCGAAAGCAACCCTAATTGAATTAGGTATATGTAATTATTACCATGTGATAACGAAGAAATGATCTGATCTGTCAACACTCCGCTGTCTTGTCGGTCTTCTATTCGAACAAACCTGCCTTCGTCCGTTATTTCCTTCCTCAGCTGCTCCTCCACTTCTTTGTAATCTGTCAAGTCTTCCACAACCTCCATAATAACCTAGAGCTAGTGACAAAAAGTAAGGCAAGCAAATTTCGTCATCTATATGAAAGAGAGGCTGTAGGGTTTTACTATACATTTATATCAAGGCATCTCTGGTGACTAAGGAGTAATTTACCACCCCAGTGATTTCCTGGCTATCTTTATAATATTCAACATTTCGATAACATCGTTTATACTACTACATGAGAAATTTCTGCAATTTGATTGGCTTAGAGCAGTGGTATTTCAGCTTAATTAGAAATACCTACAAGTGAAAATTACAAACATTTTGCAGGTAGTAGTATAAACAAATAATAGCATGATTTTTACGTGATATCTGGCATAAATACCACTCGTGATATTTCAAAATTATCTCAAATTTCACTCGCCTGACGGCTCGTGAAATTACGTATAACAATTTCGCTTGTAGTATTTATACCAAATATGACTAAAATCATGCTATTACCTATACTAATTTTTTCCTAGAGATTGGAATATAGTTAAAGTTGCCACAGATTGACAACTAAAGGCCAGTTTCAATATTATCTGTGATTAGCAAAATTTCTGAGAAGATTTTATCCAAAAAACTAATGGAATACTTAGAAACTGAAAATATTTTGACAATCAACAGTTTCCGGGCGGTTTCATTGCGGTGACTTCGTCTGCTTTGTTCGATTGTACAAATGATTGGTATGTGAACATGGATCGTGGCGTTTGTAATCTGTATTTTTTCCTAGATGTTTAAAAAGCGTCCAGTACCGTGGATCATATATAAGACTATTTTTAAACAACTCATGGCCTATGGCACCACAGATAGAGGGCTTAACATATCATTTAACAGATCGTGAGCAATACGTGAGGTGAATGTTATATCCTCTCAGCTAAGACAGATACGTCAAGGACTTTCTCAGGGGTCTATCCTGGAACCTCTCCTTTTCTTGGGATGTATCAGTATATTTGGCCCTGGCTCACCCTCACTTTGTCTATTGTTTGTGACTCACTTGGCGATGTTGTGCTAGGGTGATTAAGAGCAGAAGAAGCGAATCTGGCCAATCTGTCTATGCGAGCTCTAGGTCGGCTCCAGGTCAGCTAGGGCTGGACAAAGAGCTAAAATCAAAGCTAAATTAATTTTTAAAATGCTTCGTGGTTTAACTGCTTTTATAGACTGGTGAACTTAATATATGGACATGTAATGAATTAGCAGTAATATTACAAATTGTAACAGGGGCACTCCTTGTAAGCCCAATAGGGTTCGTTGGGAGCTCCTGTTCCTTATTATATATGTTCATTATATTACTGTAAATTAGTGAAAACATTGATTGAAGTGATGATCATGAATTGACCAAATCACCATGAATATTTAGTATATCAGTGTATTGACTTAAATTCGGTACTCTTGATCCATTATTGTTTTTGTCTTTTATGTTTTTTTTTTTATCAAATTCCATAAATTCATAAAAATTAGGTTTTGTAAAATCAAGTTGGTAATTCCCTGCCATGGTTATTGTCACACGAAACGTACTTTCATTAAATTCAAGATTGATTGGATATTCATTGTCTTTACCTTGTTGTTTTATTACTGTTATAGCCTCTCTAATATGATTGTTAATATCTGCAAAACTCCAAACACCTTCAGGAAAAGAAATACTTGTAAATTCTTTACCAGAATCTTTGCTATATCTTATTCACTGCTATATATTTGCTATATGTTATATCCAGCATTTATGTTAAACCAAGTGAGTCTAGACTCATTGTCAAGATGAAAAACCAATCATTTGAAAACGAAATTGGCAATGAAACCAGATGGAAGAGATTGATCTCATCTCATTTGTACTTCGTACTCTTCGATAAGATCGCGACCCTCCCATTTCCGGTTTCATATGCAAATTGGAAATTTAATTAGAAATCCAATTTGAAACTCGATTGGAAATGTAGGATAGGAAATGCATGGTTCACGCTCAAAAATGGAGGGCAGCTCCATTCATGCGCTCTTACTCTCATTTCCTATACTACACACCTGTGTCACACATGTTCTCCACACGTGAACGGACGCAATTGTATTTTCAAAGCCCACTTCAAGATGGAAACCATATAAAGGAGGTGTGTCACTGCCGGCTAGTGCTGTTCATCTAATCTAAAATGCCAATTACATGTCCTAATTCACTATGGAACTTGAGAAATTAATTGTGGATGACAAAATCACAGCTTCGTCTTAAACAAATAAGTCTCCCAACTGAAAGGCTAACAAGTTTTCCAAAAATCACAATAGACCTTTTCACGGTTTATGATAGGCTCGATTTCCGCCGTCTCCCGGGTCCGGTCTTTGATCCTCCCCGAAAAGAGACGGCTGGACGCGTGACCCGTTGACCTTGTCTGTGACGTAATTGAAAAATTGATAATTTAGGCGTCTCCGATGTCACTGGAAGTGAAACCGGTCTTCAAGTTTCTTATTTATTTGGCTCAAAATTGCATCAAGCTCTCCCTTACCCACCCAAATGACTTTCGAAATAGTTTTTCGGTACATTTCCATACATTGTGAAAAAGATTCTTCGGTACATTTCTGTACAGGGCGACATGTAGTTAATTTTCTCTGATCTTCGAATATTGGATTTCGTCTTCTGTGGGTCCCAACTGACTGATTCTCGGAAGCAGAACAAATTAAATGGAAAAGTTTCTGATTTACCAGACAGAATTTCCATCGTATTGAATGTTCCTCTGTCAAATATAAACATCGACGGTTACATCTAACGAACGCAGTTATCGACACCTAAAGCGTCTTGAAAAGATCCTTGAAGATGCAAAATCTCTCCAACCACAATCAATCACAACAAACAATCGAACAAAACGTTGTGTTCCTTCGGACTCTAGAATTTCGCCTGGTGTCTCCGCGTCGTCGAAATCGCTTCGCCATGCGATGGATCTTGGAAGGACAGGAAGGACTTTTTGTTTTGATGTGATAATTTCTGCGACAATCTTTGCCAGACGAAAATCTGCAGGCGGTAACATGATTGGCTTAAACTAACAAAGGAAAACGCACGCGTCCAGCCGCTCTTTCGGGGGATGAGTGCGTGCTCATTTTCTCGAACAGCGGCTGGTAACAGGGACCGCGCAGAGGGAGGGGCTGGGGGGACTTTAGCCCCCCCACTTTTGTGCAAGAAGAAAAATAAATTAAACAAAAAATAATTTAACAAAAGTAACGGAGTGAAAAATAGCAAAAAATCGTTAATTCGAAAGTGACCAGAGTTACTGGCAAAGACAAACGCGCAGATAAATAGACAGAATGAAGCATTAGTCGTTACAATTATAAAATATTTTTTCGCTTCTAACCTAGCAGAGTTTTCCTGCGGACCTCTCAGGAAAACGCGTTGTTTCGTAATTGGTCAATTTCGATCCAAAGTAATAACTGGGTTTAGTTTATAAGGCGATTCTCAAAAAAATTGTGTATTAGTTTCAACCTTGATTTTTGGAAGATCATGAAGTTATTGTTTCTCTTGTTATTGTACGTC